TTTTTCAAATGTTTCTGTGACGTACTGTATTTTGTGTTTGCTAAATTGCTCGAAAGCAACTTGCAGTTTATCAGGATTAWTTCGTATACCAWAATAGCCGAACACTTATTGAATTATAAATACRCACTTATCTAAAATACTTGTTAATTAGTTTGGTTGTTTTTATCTAAAAAACATCCTTAACTCAACATTTCTCGGCTGAGTAGTTTCCATGCTTGTAAAGATTAAATAAAAATTACAGATTCAACACAATGCTGAGCAAAAGTTATTCTATTTACTTTTTTATAAAAACACGCGCGTCAATCAGATTGTATATTTAGTTTGTAGAAAGTTGTGTCTATAATAGGTTTAAAACRTGAATTTTTTTCAAACTTTCTTGGTGTTTTTAGARAGCGATGATGAACAGACAGAACCCGAAATTCAAATCATTGAAGAAGAGGTCCAGAAGACAATCGTGGACGAGGACGGCAATGAAAAAACCGTGACAGTAACAGTACAAAAGGAAGTTATCAAGGAACCTAGCGAAAAAAAGAAAGATGGAGAATCTAAGAAGAAAAATAAAGAYAAAGGKGCAGATAAAACAGATAAATCCGAGAAAAAAGATAAAAAACACCGAAGCGATAAGTCAAAATCAAAGTCAGAAAAAGACGTTGACGAAAAGGAAGGAAAGAARCAAAGCTCAAAARGCCGCGAGAAAAACGCTTACGGTTCTTCGTCCGCTTATGGAAAAGATGCTTACGGTAAAACGGCAGARAAGAAAAAGCTAACGGCGGATACTATTGGAGAWATGCCCGAGGTAATTAACTTAACACGAAGACTTGATGCYGTGGAAAATGGACTCAAAGGACTTCGTAACATAGTCGATTCCATGGTAAACCAAGTTGATTTTGGTGATGGTGTTGGTGATATCCTYAAAGCGCARCTTGAYCAAGTTCAACAGCARATGAACAAAGTCGAACTCGTCAAGAAGGAAGAGCCAAAAGACAAGAAGAAAAAGAAAGGAAAGAAAGGTCAGACTGATGAAGTACCGCAGAGTGGCATTATAACAGAAGGAGGGGGTGGTGTAACAGGAGGAGAGGGTGTGGTGGGAGGGCAGGGAACTGCCCCTGGTGTAATAGCCGCACCTGGAGCGCCTGCTGAGAACAGCATCCCAGGTGTGATTCCTCCTCCCACTCAGCGACCAGCTGCAGACACCGGCAGGARGACAATGTCGCGTAAGGAGAGTCGYAAAGGAGGAGTTGCTCTCAAAGGGGCTGCAAACAATGCCGCTGACACCCAGGARGATGAAAAACCTCCCTTRAAGAAGCGCACAACTCTAAAAGATTTACAGCTTAGAAAGAAAGCACGTGCTGAAGGCGTGACTGTTGAGGAGATCGAAGCTCGTGAGGCTGCAAAGGAAACTAAAAAAGACAGCAAGAARGATAACAAAAAGGAACAAAACGAAAATGATAATGACAACAAGAACAAAGAAGACGGAGACGAAAAGAAGGATTCSGACGCAGAYGAGACMAGTTCAATGGAGTCACTCGACTCTGCAGAAGAAGCGGCCGCAATGGAAGARATGATCATGGAAGAAATCGAAGCTGCGCTTGAGAATGCTGCAGACGATCCTGAGGCCCAGGCCTACGCGCTTAGACTGAGTATTGAACAGATGAACAACATGAAGAAGACTCTTACCCAGTCTCAAGACGAGTTCCGTAAAGAAATGAACAAGAATAAATCTGCTATATCACAGATTGCTAGAGAGTTGTCCTTGTTTAGAGCTGCAAGAAAAGCCCAGGTAAATATTATCTTATATTAAGATCATTACAGAAGATCTTTGTAGTCATTGTCCTAGCTAACATCATAATCATCATAATCATCATTATCATATTTATTACTTTATTTAATCAACACCTGTGACATTCAAGCAAGTGGACAATCCAAACTCTGTTCTTGTAATTCTTTACACAAACGGCACAGAGTTTTAGATTAATTTATCACTAAAAATTGTATTTCCCAGCATTGGCTTTCTTCGATAAAATGGCGTTGCCAACATCATCCTGATTCCCGTCATCCCCACCATCGTTATTTGAATCTTGAAAAATATCACTTTTCTAGATAAAATGTTCTAATATTCAGACCTAAATTCGTGTTGTAGGATGCCGAGGGTTTCAACGCCGTCCATCACGTTCATAGCATGGTCCTTGAATTACAAAACAAGCACGAAAARATGATGTCTACAACTTCAGAACTCGTGAATGAGTATAACAGAAGAGAGAAGACCTTTGATGACTTAATGAACAACGTCGATTTACTCCAGCAAAACAAAGCTGACAAACAAGAYGTCAATCAAGAGATTAATGTCAAAGCAGACAAGATGGAACTGGAGAGCAAAGTCAGTATGAACCAGTTTGATGAAGGGTTTAATTTACTTGATCGTGGRCTTAGTGAAGCGCTGGAAAAAATGGACAACCAGGTGAGAAAGTGTTCCTCACGTTTTTGTACACAGTTCGCTCGTTCATTCATACAAGTAATTTATTTGCAAGTTTTTTTGCGGCTTTGTCGGCTTYGTGGYGCWGAATTTCATGCTTTCTTTGCAAAATTSCATGTTTTATCTTTRCTGCGATGATTTTCTCTGCTTCCTTGCTCAGTCTCGCTATAGAACCATTTTGTTGTGTGGGCAACAGATAATTCAGTGAGTCCYCACTCAGAGACTCCGTCGTTTTCGTTCATTATATTTCACCCTCGTCCCCAGGAATCAAGGTGGGCTTCCCTCAAAACACGGGTTTCCTGAAATTAAGAAGGGGGAAGGTCGGAAGTCATTACAGAGGAATTCCAAATACGACCAGGGATTACCTGCTCAGGAAGCTAACTTGTTCTACACGCCCAATAAATTCATATGTTTGTAAATGCAGATGTCGATTGAGGATGCATTAAAGAGTACTATCAACGATCTCCAATCGAAACTTTCACTTAAGTTGGATCGAAATGACCTGGATAGCTTACGAGCTCAGCTTGAATCGCGAATCAAAGAGATTCAAGTTATCAAGACGGTGGTCAAGGAAAAGCCTGAGGATGGTGAACCTGCAGGCTTTCGACGGTGAGGCGATGATGAATGCATCTAAATTGTGTCTTGAATTGATACTGTCATCAGTGATGTGACTGCTCTATTCATTCTGTTTTTTGCTGTTTTGTAGTTTTCGGTGCTGTTGTTTGCTTTCATAAGCGTTTTGGTTGTTTTTGTTGTTGTTGCTGTTGTTGTTGTTGTTGTTGCTGCTATTGTTGTTGCTGCTGTTGTTGTTGTTGCTGCTGCTGATACTGTTGCTGTTGTTGTTGTTGTTGTTGCTGCTGCTGCTGTTGTTGTTGTTKTTGCTGCTGCTGTTGTTGTTGCTGCTGCTGCTGCTGTTGTTGTTGTTGCTGCTGCTGTTGTTGTTGTTGCTATGTTTGTGGTCCGTGGTTATACTTTTGTTGTCAGTTTTTGTTGTTTCTGTCAGTTGACCAATGATGTTTCTGCTGTTGATGCTGTTTCACCATATTGCCACTATATAATGCGATCATACCATCAAGCAACTACTGCTATTTCTTTACATGTGCTGTTTTCCAGTATTTTCGAATAAACCATTTATAACGCTATGTGGAATATTTCCAGGAACGTAACCGAAAAGGTTCATTGTATATCATGTGATCGTCCATTGGAGGTGTCCAAACCAACAAATCCCAATCCTAACATGCCAAAGATACAAGGCCTTCCAAGCCACAAGTCTGCAAAACCCTACACAACCTACGAACTTGAACAAATCCGTCAACATCAGAAGATGAATACAGGCTTACGTAAAGCGACCATTAACGCGGATTTACCGTATTCTACGCAGAAATTACGCAACGAAGTCGTAGCCATGACGGGAATGGTTGATATGGTGGACTTACCGCCCTCTCAACGGTACTGCGGTGGCAGCCATACCATCATGCACCCGTTCCGTCGATCCGTTAAGTCTACGTCATCACACTTTAACCAATACATCATGGTAAGGGATGATGCGGAATCTAACGTAGCCCTACCCCGACGGGATTTTATTGTACCGAAGGATTCTAATCTGAAAAGATACATGAAGCCAAAGTTGCCTGCTATTGGTCAAGCAAACACTCGAGAACCGTCTCCTCCGCTTAGTTATGACCCGTATGTGGAGCGACCTTCCAGTGCGCCAGCCACGCCCGTTCCCATCATGCTCCAGCGAGATCGTAGCCTCACATCACCCGCCAAGGGAGTTCAATTCGAACAATCAGTGCAACCAATGGAGTCCGAAGGTGACAGGTCTCCTATCGAAGTCGAAAAAATAGCGGTCACGCTACCATCGCCAGTTGAGGAATCATGACATATTAGAATGTTTAATAGATCGGCGTAAATAAAATTTAGTGTGTTGCGTGACGAGTTAGTTTGTCACGTTATCAAATAAAAGAAAACATAAAGAGTGAATAGTGGTCACGCTACCATCCCTTATTTAAGAAACGAGTTCTAGTGTAATGTAAATAAAATGCTGTAAATAAAATCTAGTTTATTCCGTGATGTGGTAGTTTCAACTTCGTACCCAGGACCTTATCCCAAACGAAGGGAGGGTGAATAGAGGAGTAGTTAACAGAGTGGTCGGTGTAGCGAGGTTTGTTTGTATATTAACTAGTGCAACTGTTCGTAATAATTGAGTATATTTATTAACAGTTTAGATCGGTGTAGCGAGGTTTGTTTGTATATTAACTAGTGCAACTGTTCGTAATAATTGAGTATATTTATTAACAGTTTAGATCGGTGTAGCGAGGTTTGTTTGTATATTAACTAGTGCAACTGTTCGTAATAATTGAGTATATTTATTAA